TTATCTGATACTGATACATTGTAAAGCATTTTAATTTCTTATAATTTAGGCAGTTCCACTGCATATAACAGGCGGTACAGGAACTCAGCTGGAGGTAAGTAAGTAAGACATGTGTGAAAATAAGTTCAGAAGTATTTGTAACATGTGTATAAAATATACCTATAAATAGTATAAAATATACCTACAACTTTAAGAACTTAAATCTTTACCTAAACAAAAAAATTTTAATTAACGTAAATGAGGATTAGAATTTCATGTGCTATACAAATTATATGACACGAGTATAGTTTAAAGTTAAACTTTATCTCTCAAATTGATGCTCGTTAACGAGATATTCAACAAACATCACATGTGCCGAATCACTTTTTTTATGTTTGCGTGATTTATTTCCCTTACTTTGAAATTTCATTTTCCGTTTTCGTGGCTTAAGATGTAATTATTTTTCAAAAACAACACTGGGAATTTTTCAGAATTTTCCTCTTCTCCTTAAGTGTTTTCTACCTTTGGGTTTTTTAAGCATTGTTGTCACAAATGAATTGCAAAAGTGATTTACAAATTAAAATAAGAATAAATCAACAAAGAAAAGGATACTTTATTCAATTAAATTTTCAAAAAAACTTGCACTTAATTTTAAATTAATATTTAACTTATTCACTAAATATAAATTGACTTACAAAATAGAAGAAAATAAAATGATGAAAAATAAATCTATTTATAATTGTTTTCAAGTGTGGAATAGACCAGCCAAACCACCTCGTAAATTTCAAATATATTCTCCAAATGCAACGAAATCAAATTTAAGACATTTTAAAATTTTAACTAATATTGTATTAAATACGTTTCAAAAGGCGTTAGCATATAACAACATAAAATGATAATAATATTTTTTTCCACCTACAGCTAAACATCTTAATTAACGGCTATTAAATATAAATATTTACAAAAGAAAAATTATTTATTCTTAATATGGAAATATCTTATTCAAAAATAGGAATGGGAATGGATTTTATATTATACAGTGAGAATCAATTCTAAAAATTTGACATCAAAGAAATAATGTACTGAATGTAATGTAAAATGAAGAGTTCATAAATCAACAAAATTGGATGATACTATAATTAAACATAATACAAGTTTCTACAAAGAATCACCCATTAATTTAATAGATTCTTTTCCTTCTAACTGTGTTTTAATTATGGAAATACTAAAACAAATTTTTTATCTACAATACATTTTTTTGTGTAATGCATTTTTGTTATATTTCTATTATTTGCTGTTTTTGGTAAAATAATTTTTCTTCAAATATAAAATTATTTTTATGAACAAATGAAAATATTTTTGTACAAAAATAGCATAATGTAGGAATAATTCACAAAAAAAAAAAGATAGTTCTTAATGAATTAATTGATAACGCGGTCCTATGAATATAAAAAATATCAAAAGTTGCGAATGACTTTTGCATAGAAGCAACAGTTAAAATTCTTTATAAATTCATTATCAAAAATGATGTGGAACTAAAATGCATATGAACAAAAACATTTATAAGATCAGGTAATATGGTAAAATACATATACGTGATGACATAACACATATTTCAGTACACTAAAATTGAAACTTCAGACCAGCTGCGTTTAAAACTCTCAGTTATACAATGTAAAACATTCTTCCACAATCGTTAACATGATGTAGATTCATACTAGTGTTAGGTATGAAAATATGAAGGACAGTCGGTCAGTTCTGCACACTTCCATAAACGTAGTTCAAGAACTCTGTTAAATGTGGATTTAATTTTACTTTTCTCCTATTGATATTATCTCCAGAAATGATTTATGATGCAGAATGCAGGTCAAAATCTCAATTAAATGCTATAACTTTTTAATAATATTTCATAGTTTCAGCAAATTTATGCAAACTGAAGAAAATTGTAAAACTGCCAGAATTTAAACGTTTTTATAATCTCTGAAATTGCAAAATTTAATAAAAGAAAAATTTTAATATTTTAACATTTAGCATTTAAATACGACCATACTAAAGCTAAATAACTAATATTCTGTTATAAAATACTATCTAAATTAAAATTTCAAACGTAATTAACATATTATATATACACAAAATTATAATTATATTTTTAACTAGCATATAATTTCAGTGAAATGCATCGATTTAGCAGTAGGAAATTTGCTAAAATTATTCGCAATACTATTCATCTTGTGGAAAGCATGAGAGAAAAAAATGTAAAATAATGGTATTGCACAGATGATAAAAATATAGCTTTTTGTGATTACTTATTATACTTGTCAGGTGTCTGAAAATATACTTTTTCTTATATATTTTGTAGTTCATGCTTTGCTTTCATCCACACGTAATAGAATTTTCTGTTTTTTTATACTATAAATTATCTAGAAATGTTTTGGATAAAAAATAATAAAAATTAACAATAGTATATCCTGTAAAGTCAATCGCTAAACACAGGAAAATAATATTGTTTTATTGCTGTTTAGAAATAAAATTCTCGACAAGAGAAATGAAACAAAGGGAAATAAGACAAAATCAAATTTCTTCCGCTTCCCTTGAGAAGACAACAATTATCGTCTTACAAATGTAACAAAACACGCTTTTCATACCAGAGTTAAAATTAAACTTCGAAGTATACAACTGTTACAATTAAACCTTACAAATTAGTTAACTATTTGAGTTGTTCTCGAAATTTACGATACTTTTTGTAATGACAGAAGCTTCATATATTCAGTTTCACATTTTTAATTCAGCAGATTTAATGAACGAGATAAACCGTCAATTCAAAATGCAAAAACAAAATCATATTCATTCTATTTCTATCTTCAGTAATTTTATACCATTAAAAATTCCTAATGAAATCTAACATTTTTCTTTTGGAAGGAATTTTGAGGGACAGACAGCAATGTTTTTATTGATTATTCTTTGCAAAGAGAGTAAAAAATATATATATATATAAAAGCGGAGTCCTTAAAACAGCATTTCATTGAAAATATGTGTTAATTCCAACTTGATTTTAGCTTTAGCTTCATATAATTTTGATCAGAATGTTTTTTTTTAAATCAGAAAAAGAGCAGATTTTTTTTAATTTCTGGAAAATTTATTTTAATTTGAAATACAAATGCCCTACAACGGTGGTCTCAAACTGCGGCCTGTGAGATACATCCTGCCCCGAAGTAATTTTATGCGGCCTAGTAATACATTTAAATTATATATTTGTTGCAAAGTTTTTAAGATTTTGGTTATCAAGTCAAAGTTTAAATTATTTTCGTTACTATTAAAAACGAACATGTATAAAGTATCAGAAAATGCATAAAGAGCTAACTAATTTACAATGTGATATAAATCTAATTCAAAGACAGATAGATTACAGATTTTATTAACTTTTACAGCAGATTTTTACAGATTACTTTTACAGATTTTATTAACCTTTACAGAAGATGCAGATTTTATTAACTTTCATTCGTACTTGTCAAAACAATAAATAAAATCAGTCATGAATTTTTGTATTAAGAATAATCATTTTGTTTGAGAAGACATTTATATGTAAACAGTTTTTTTTCATAGTTGATAATTAATAAGAACTTGATTGTTTTTCCATAGTAAGGAAAAATTTTAATAATTTCTCCTTAGCGCTCAAAACTTTATCGGAATCCAAATGCAATCAAATGTGAAGCTGTAGTAAAATAGAGAAGTTTATAATTATTTATATACAGAGTAGATAAAGAAGTTTATAATTATTTATATACAAACATATGTATTTTTATTTATGTGTCGAAGAAAAATTTAATAAAAAAAAGAAAAATAGACGAGGTTGTCATTATTTATTCTCAAGTATTGTTCCACTTCAAAAGTTTTCTCTGAACACTTAGAACTTTTCTTAATTTGTTTATTTTTAGTACAGTACAAAGTCCGTAATCCGGACTCGTCGGGACTTCGGCGATTCCGGATTAGGGGTTTTTCCGGATTATAGATCATCAATTTCAATCTGGTAAGATGGCATGCAGAAATTATACAATTAAAAATATGAAACCGTAATTTATGAAATAAAAAGCAATTATGATATAAAGGTTATCAAAATTTACAAAAAAAAAAAAAAAAGGCTTAATATTTATCTGTTTACTTTATTAAACATTTCTTTCAATGTAAGTTATTTAAGTTGCTTCTTTTTTTGTGCTAATACTTTCTCTTTAATTCTCTCTTCTACAAACAGACATAATTTCTTGTTCAGTTACAAAGTTCCACTGTTCAAATCCTGTAATTGCTATGTCGAGAATACCGACTAACTTGTCAATCGAAATTTTTTCGTTTTCAATAACTTCTCTGTCACTTTCTTCACTATCGGAAGCGCGCATGTGTAAACGCTTTACTAGCTTTACACGCATGCGTAAGTTTGTGACTTTGAGGTTCGGATTATAGATCATTCCGGATAATGAACGTCCGGATTACGGACTTTGTACTGTATAAATTAATTAAAAAACATTACTTAATGATTAATGAAACATGTTAAAATTATTCGAAATAAATGTCAGTCTGAAAATTTAATATTTGTAGTCAATATATTTGAATTTCAAGGTAACGAACAAAAATGTTTTATAGGCACCAAACGTTAGATTTCAGATAGAAAATAAATGTAAATTTGAATTTTTTCCCTGTGCGGTATTATTATTGTTCATGTATGTTCTGATAATTATTAAGCAAGTGAAATTTAAAATGTATTTTATCTATTTTTCATTTTGTTAAAAAAATTATTTTCTGTTGAAAAAAATTTGATTCGTCTGCTATTTTCAAATTACGTATGGAATTTCAGCTTGAGACCACTGCTGTAGAACAGCAACAAATAATTTCATTCGTAAACTGTTTACATTTTAATGAGCATGTATGAAAAAGCATTTATTTTATATTTTTTGTACGCAGTCTATAATACTATTTTTACGACATTATAATGTAAAACATTAACAAAGATGATTTAACAAGAAGTCTCATTGTCTCTTTCGAGTTTAGAAATGCTTTAATCTAAATATTTAACCCTTATTCAACTCATATGAAGGCCACATGCTTCTTAAACTAAAAGTGAAAATACGTATGTTATTAAACACATTAACACATTTCTTACGAGCAATATTGAATATTACAATTTTTTTCCTCTCATGGAAAAGTCTTTAGGAGATTTTAATCTGAAGCAGAACTTCTTTCTATATAATAGGTTCCATTTGAAGCACTGGTTCTCTTTTGGAACATTTAGTGAAAATCACATCTTCTTCTTCCTCTTCTTTGATCCATCTGGCTAATCTGTCCTCAGTGTGCGACTTCTCATCCTCCTCACCGTAGAAATTACTCATGCGATCACTCAAAAGAAAGACAACCACATCGAAACATATGCCGATGCTAATAAGCAACATGGACATACCATGCAAGTAAAAGCGGAACTTGTCGCTGTCGTACAACCAGCAATTACCAGTCTTTGAACAACTTTCTTCCCACACCAGACAAGTAGAATCCGTCAAAGCCCCATAAATCAAGGGATATGGAATAAAAGCTGTAAAAAATTATAAAAAATAGTGGATGAAATAATACAAGTTTGCAGTCTGAAATTCATATTTAAGGTATGATAACATTTTATGGAAACATACATATACACAATCATTTCGCAGTTTGAAATTGATAGTCATGACAGAAGGAAGGAAATTTTTATAGCAAATTTTATGCACAGACAAAAGTAATGCAAATGCTTGTGAAATGCAAATGAGTTGCTATAGAAAGCTTAGAAAATATTATTTCGAGTCATCAAAACTACAAAATTTTGAACTACGTTTTTTAGGATATCCAAAATTATCAAATAACGGGACTCTTTTGGTTGGCGTTCTTCTTTTTTCAAAGGTCACCCATTATGCTTGCTTTATATTACAAACTTCTGTGCCATCCATGCCTCGCAGACACTATACACTTACAAACTTCTATGCCTTCTCCGCGATTACAGCTCGAGACCAACCATACTTTAGCGAGCATTGCTAACCATCATACCGATCACGGTGGCAATGCAAAAAAATACGTTATTTGTCGGATCCATGATTCTTAGCTTGTCTTGATGGCATGCACTGTTCATTCAGCAAAAACATATGAGCATCCTTTGTTAATGTCGAGCTTGATGTAAACGGGAAGCTGAATACATATGTGCAGTTTTCAATAACAGGTTTCACTTCGATCTAGAAAAAGATGATGGTCGAGTATAGATATAGTGGCGTATGGGTAAAGAACTTCAAGACGCACATCTGGCTCAGTGCAGTAGAGGTTTTTCAGTAGTCGTTACGGCACGAGACACCGTGACTTATAACTACTTTTGACTGTTGCAGGGTTTGTAGTGGAACATCTAACCGGTGACAATATAAGGGAAGGTAGTTAGGCCCATCTGGTACCATTCGGCAAACTTTGCCCTGGAAGGAGAAATCCCTCAAACTCCAGCACTGAACGAACAGCATGGAATGACCATGGATGGATCGAAAATTGAACTGGGTACGAGAAGCATCTACGTTGTAATGAAAGAATAATATAACTCTTAGCTTTAAAAGACATCTGGGAGTACAAAATTCTGTGTTTCAGGATAATTGAAAGTTCTGCTAGCAGCAGGCCATACGCCATGCTTTTCAACAACCTAAGCGTAGCACCGTCATAAGTAGCGATTCGGCTTCAATTCTCGCTACAATAACATGAACTTGTAATAGAAACTCTTTAGTTCAAAATACACAGAGTATACTGCTAAAAAGGCACCTGGATGCAAGACCAATCGTGTCCTGGGTCCCTGCCCACACAGGAATCCAAGGCAATGAACATGCTGATATATTAGCAAAAGATTATGGAATAGTTGAATGGAATTCGGATAAATAATACAGTTATACAAGTAATAAAAAAATTCTATTGATAGTAATTCATAAGGTACAAATCCCTTTTGGTCAGGAGCAATAAATTTTTCTCAAATTGCTCCTGACGAAAAGAGACCTGTATCTGTTCGCCCTTTTTTGGAAATCGATAGAGTTTCAAACAAAATCTACGCCAAAGATCAGGTTATTGTTTTTTTCTAATTTTAAGTTTTACTTTGGCATGTTTCTCTTATCTCTTAGATTTATAAATATTTTAAGCAAAACAGAGTGAATTGCAAGTCTGATTTAAGAGCAGGCTATAAGCAGTTTAATAATTTCAGTCATTATTTCCCCAATTACAAACTATATATAATTGGGATAATTCCGTAGTTTCAAAAAGCTGACGAAACTGGAAAAAAAAGATGCTGAACATCTAAGTGACTTTTTAAATAATTTAGTATTATTCAAGGTCAATAAGGTTAGTTACAAATTTTGCTTAAATTTGAAATTTCAAGGAGGAAGCCATTATAAAATTTGAAGATTAGTTTCAGGTTTCTAACGAACTGAAGATACAGAAAGAGAATGTAAGAGAAGAATTTTGTTTCACATGGAAAGCTAAAAATGATTTTTATTTCAACAGATCCTTGAAAACTTCAATCTGTGCCAGTTAACTCACAGCAACAGAAGAACCTACCATTAGTAAACCTAAAAAAATATCACGTGAAGTAAATCTAATATAGATATACGAGTATTTGAGCCTCTTGGTATAATGCACTGAAATGGCATAGAGAACACCTTTGATTCATGTCATGTGATAACCATCAAAAAAACTCTTATCTATCCTCTGTTGCTTCATATGTTGTTGGTTTAATCCAGAATGGCTGATAATAGCATAGCCTTCGGTTTATCAATGAGCAATGAGTGCCTGGCCTATTTTAAGATAAAATCTTCTTAACAATTTCTCAAAGGGGGAAATAAAGGTATTTCAGGAAGAGATACCAGTTCTGAAAAAGCCCCAGTTAATCGAATCATTTCATCCAATCAAATCATTTTGTTTGGTCTATGAGTTTTAACTTCCTGCTGTGAGCAGAGTTTCCTAATATTGTGCGTCGACACATAAGCTATTTAAAAAAGAGGAAGACACTGAGGAATACACGATACTGAAAATAATGAAATTATGTTATTGTCTGTAATTTTTCACTTTATGGATGATACATTTTTGCTATTAATAAATTTTGGTTTACATTAAATATAACTGAATCAACTGTGATTGAATATAAAAAATGTCAGTGAAGTGAAAATTTTACAATAAATTTTAAGCAGTGACAAATAAACATAATTCTCTCGGTTTACATTTTATAGAAAAAAGGAAACCGTCAAAGAAATAAAGAAATTCCTTGTTATAATTGCAATTTTAAATCATTGACAAAATACAAAGGGTAAAAGCAGCAGAGTATAGCAACACATAAATGTAAATAAGAATCTGGATGATATATTTTTTCTGAAATGCGTGCTAATTCATAATTTTATATTGTTCATGGAAAAACGAAATAATATATTAGGTTCTTCAATTAAAAGTGCTTTGAGTAATATTAGAAGGTACGAAAATAAAATTCTTCAGTGTTAAAAGCTTCGAATATATGAATGGAAAGTAAAACGTAATTACTTGTTAAGTACTTCAACTAGTGTTTTCGTTTGCGCTACGCGTAAGCTAATAGACACACGGCTACGAAATTTGGTGCATCTACACAAGAGCCAGTGCACCTCGAAGTTTTTCGAAATTCCAATTAGAATATTTTTTATTTTATGTTTTGTGACGAAATCGCGTCATTTTGAGACATAATGGGCTATAGGAAAGGGAGATTTTACTCTACACACTCCATTTTCCCATCGTCATGAAACTTAGGCACTTAGCTATTTTACGAATTTAAAATAAATTTCGTGTTTTAATAAATCGATTAAATACGAATTTATTTAACAAAGGGAGCTTAACACCTTTTCAACGGGATTTTTTTCTAAACAAGTTTCTTTTTAAAAATGTACAGTTTATTTTTCTTTGATTTTTGGACACGTTAAACTTTCATCCTTGCGACTGTTTTTTACAAAAAGAATTTTGAAAAAATGATAATATTTTGTAATTTTTAAGAAATGTTTTAAATGGAGCTTCCGAGTACACTTCTCACATCTCACATCTTTAAAAATGTGATTTTGGCAACAATTTTCCTTTCTTATTGTTGTTGATAGATTTTTGATGAAATCGCATCATTTTGAATAGTTTCATTCTTTTAGAAATATGGGTTTGGCAACAATTTTTCATATATAATAAAAGAAATAGTCTGTGCGTCTTTCGTTGTGCTGCGCGTAAGCTAATAGACCCAGGGCTACGAAATTTGGTACGCAGATGCATCTAGACAAGAGCCAGTGCACCCTGAAGCGATTTTTTCAAAATTCGAATCGTATTTTTTTATTTTATCATTTCGATTTTATCACATCATTTTGAACAGTTTCATTCTTTTAGAAATGTGTTTTGGGCAACAGTTTTTCATTCAGTTGTATACTGGACTGCTGACTGTTGAAAATCAACACGGTTGCCACTTGAAAAAATGAGGGCGATAATTCTGTGCAGTTTTTAAATTTAATGTTTCTTTTGGATGATGGACGTTTGTTGGGAGAAGGCAACGGACGATAATTATTTTGTATAAAGGGATATTCCTTATTTCATTGTAATTTTCTTATTTGTAATACATGTTTTTGAAATTTGTGTTTTTAAAATTTAATTTAACTTTTAATTTGTTTTTATTAAGTTGTTCTGCAGAGTAAAATTCTGCCCAGTTTTTAAATTTAACTTTTGGTGTTCACTTCAGACATTTTTCCGTTACGTTTAAAAGCCAGACGAAAGCTGGCAGCGTAGCTGCTAGTTGTTAATAAAAAAAATTAAGAAAAGAACACAATTACTGATTAAGTACTTCAACTAAAAATCTTTGAACAAGTATATTCCAAGGTATGGAAATAAACTTTTTCCGTGTTAAATGTAATGTTAAAACATTTGGAATAATTCATAATTATATATTTTAATAGAAAGCAAAGCAAAACGTATTACGTACTTCAATTAAATGTGTTTTGAATAATAATATTAGAAGACAAAAAAAAATAAAATTCTTCCGTATTCAAAGCAAAAATATTTCGAATAAATTTTATAATTCAGATTATCGAATTACATTAATATTTTCTTTATCAACGTTTTTTATGTTCAGTAACACAATGAATATAGATATCATAAACTAAAGATTATTGTGTGTTTGAAAGAAATTTTATGATTCCTGCAGCGGAAACATGTAGGTGGTACCCATTCGGTCTATTATTGATAAATAACTTTAAGTAACACGAATGCTTTCTGTATCAAGCCCAAATACTTCTATCAATTTAAAGTTTAATCAGTTGTCATGTTTATGTTCCTCATGTGAATTCCTCATGTTATGCTTCTTTATTGTTACGTTACTTTATGTGAAATTTAGTTAATTCGTAATATAGAAAAGTTGATGTAGTCAGGAAATTTTTAATGATTATGACGATCTAAAATTTCATTTACAGAATTATTTTAAACTTTTCATATTTCTCGCATTTTTCGGACTATGCCTGAAAGAGCCTAACGAAAAACAGAATTAGATTTAATGCTTGAATATGGTTAGGTTTGAATAATAAATTAGCCAGCAGCATCCACAAGTCTACGGTCGATGACAGATATTTCTTCTTATTCTTCGTAAGTTTGTCCAAATATAATGAGATAAAATAGGAAGAAGAAAATGCTTTAGTTGATAAGTTTTATTTTAACATGAAATTATTCAAAAATTTTGAATACGATAACATTAACTACGTTTGCATTAATCGGTACCTTCTATGATAATCTCATGTGAAATTATAATTCACTTCCTTTGTTTTTATCAGATTGCGATTATTGCTTCCTTTATACTACAAAATAATAAACACATTGAAGCAAATAACAAAATGCTTTACAGAATTTTTAGTGTTTACTATTAATGCATAATTCAATATAAAGAATCCTTCAGCGATGGTGATTTCCATTAGCATTTCCAATTTATTGATAATTATTTTTATTAATACATAAAACTGTAATATTGTGGTATTGGTTTGCTTACCGAACATAGCCAAAACACTTCCAAATGCGCCAAGAGCAAAACTTTTATCTTTGGAATCAACACACCTAAAAAAATAAAGAAGCGATATTATTATTATGCACTTGAATTTTAAGTTAACTTTTGAGTGTATGAAAACTTCACATCGTCTTATAAAGGGTTTTTTTATAGTGAATGGGATAAAAAGAATAGCGTAGTACAAATTATGTAATTAATGTATTAATCCGAAACAAATTAATTCTGAAACTACAGTCATACAAGATTTATCTGGCAACAGCGAAACATCTTCTGGTTACGAAATCGCCAAAACGTTTATCGTCGTTCAAAGACATTTTGAACGACATTTGGTAACGAGTAATTGGTAAAGAACCACCGCATCATCACAACCTCGATCGATGGGTGAAGCAGATTCAGGACACGGTCTACTTGTGTAAGAAAACCAGCCCAGGAAGAACAGCACCAAAGTGGTGAAAAAAATTCGTGACACATTTTTTTTAAGGAATCCTACAAAATCAATGCGTCGTGCGAGTTCTGAACTCAGTGTGTCTCATGTAACGATGTGACGTGTGTTGCGCAAACGTCTACAGTTCCGGTCGTATACCTTTCAGATGGTGTAGGCGTTAAAATCTTCCAACAAACCGTTGCGTAAAACGTTCTCTGAGAATATTGCAAGATAATCTGGAAGCAGGTGGTTTCGTGAACAGACTTGTGTTCACGTATGAAGCCACTTTTCACGTTTCTGACAAAGTTAATCACCGTAATTTACGATTTTGGGGCACAGAAAATTCAAATGATGTAATGGAACATGAGCTTGATTCCCCGAAGATTTTCTGCGCCATTTCGAACAATTGTGTTTTTGGTTCATTTTTCATCGTGAAAAAATCGTTTAACGGGTACATTTTCCAAAATATGCTTTTCTTTTCTTCGCCAGCGGGACAACCGGTAGGCTTAAGAAAAGTACTTGTCGGCCTGTTTATGTCCCGTCGACGACTAAAACCATTTCTTAGTGCCTTAGATCAAGTTCCTTAAAGGTATGCTAGCAGAATGGTTTTCTATCAGCCCAAAAAATGCTAGCAGACCAAAATATGCTGTCGAACAGATTGTTCCCTCAGTTGGAGGAAACGGATTCAGTCTGAAGAAAGAAGGTGTTCCACCACACCCTCTCACAACCAGACAGGTCGCGCAAATTGACTGTAGCATACTGGAAAGGAGACAGTTGAGGACTCCTTCTAACAGTCGATCACACTCCTGCAGAAAGGTAACTTGATAAATCAAATGCATACGTTCAGATACGTAGACATTCAGAGAGATACTTAGATATATATATATATATATATACATACAGAACCTCGGAAGAACAAACCATGAGTTGAACTACTACTCATTCATATATACATATGACATATAAGCGTACTGCGAGGCAAGGAAACACAAAGGAAACTAGACAGTGTGAGGAGGTGTATCAATTACATAAATGGAAATTCAAACAATATATTGGAGCATTCAAACAGTGCATATATGCTCTGGAAATACTGCAATATGGAGATGCATCAGTTGCATGCATTCAGATACGTATACATTCAATACAATAACTAAGTTAAATTTATATACTTACAGAACCTAGGAAGGACAACGCACAAGTAGAACTACTACTAATTCAGACATACGCATGACAAATATAGATATTGAGAGATGTAAGGAAATACAGGGGAATATAGACATTATAGAGAAGTGCATTAATTACATATATAGAAATTCAACGTACATAGGAACATCAAACTATACATATATGCTAAGGAAATCTTATAGGATGGAGATACATCCGATGCATACGTACAGATAAATAGACATTCATAGAGTTACTTAGATACAGTTATATACATACAGAACTTCGAAAAGACAAACCAAAATTAGAACTGTTACTCTTTGATACATTCGCAGGACAAATAAACATAGTGAGATGTAAGGAAACACAAGGGAATATCGACATTATAAGGAGGTGCTTCGATGTCATGTATAGAAATTAAAACAATGCAAATGAACATTCAAACAATATCTGTATGCTCAGGAAATCTTACAGTATGGAGACATAGCAAATGCATACGTTCAGATACACAGACATTCATATAGTTACTTAGATACATCTGTATACATACATACAGAACCTCGTAAAGACAACCCATAGGTAGAAGTACTACTCGTTCGTATGTACGCAAGAGAAATAAACGTATTGAGATGCAAGGAAATACAAGGGAATATAGACATTATAAGGAGGTGCAACAATTACATATTAAGAGAAAAACTATACGGAGGAAAATTCAAACAATACATATAAGCTCGGGAAATCTTACAATATGGAGATACATCAAATGCATACGTACAGATACCTAGACATTCATAGAGTAACTAAGATACATGTATATACATACAAAACCACGAGAGGACAAACCATAAGTTGAATTACTACTCTTTTATACATACGCAGGACGAAGTTGCATTTTGAGAGAAGCAAGGAAATACAAGGGAATAATTACATTATAAGGAGGTGCATCAATTACGTATATCGAAATACAAACACTACATAGAAGAAGAAGTTTTGGGCATTCCCCGTTTCGAGAACTTAATCTCAATCCGGAAAACACTACATAGGCACATTCAAACAATGCACATATATATGCTCAGGAAATATGCTCTAAAGGGTGAAGATCAAAAGATCTGGCTGCCAATACATGCGGCGAATATAGTACTTATTTTCCATTAATCGTCGACCAGCTCAGCCTGTGTGGACGAGCATTGTCGTCCATTCACAGGAACCCAGGACAAATTGTTCCCCTGAGAAATCCAACATAGGGCTCTAGTATCTCCTCTGTATACCTCAAAACAGTCCGGAGCTCTTTGTCAAACACATTCAAGAGTATGCGGCCATCCAAAATAATGTCTGCCCAAACTATTACATATCCACCACTATAATGATCCTTTTCCCTAACGACGATGCGATGCTATCATGTTCCTGTTCAGATGCAGGTTCGACGAGAATCAATATCCGAGCTGAATCTCGACTCCTGTAAAAAGCAAAGTACTGCACTGAAGACTGGTCCAAGAGGTATGTTGACTGCACCATGCTAAACGCTCTGTCTTCAGTCCTGCAGTAAGCACGATACAAACAGGTCTTCTGGCATACAAACCTATCTCATAAAGCCTTGGGCAAATGTAGACCATGAAATTCGGCTTCGAGTTGGAACATACAGCTCATGTGACAGCTGTGAAGCTGTAGCAGTCCTATGTTGCCCCGCTGAAAGTGCTAGATAATGATCCTCATTCGTCATTCTAGATCTTGCTCGACCTTGTCCAGGTTTTCTTGACATGGATCGAGTGTCCTGAAGCTATTTCCACAAACTGCAGATGACACTAGGCGTTAGCTTGAGCTCTATAGCCACCTGCTCTTGTGATTGACCTGCCTCCAGTGTACCGACAATTCTCCACCTCATTCCGTTATCCACACGTTCGGGGATAGTCATTTTACTTGATACCTTCTAAAATTATCTATTTCTAGAGAGAACACGGCGAATGTCGTGAAGTAGTACGAACACACAAATCGGCAAAAACTCCTCGATAAATCACAGCTCAGTAGATACGTATGTGTACACTTACGTATTCGACTCTGAATATTTGCATATCCTTCGGAGGCATAATTAGTGCCTTTGATTCGATTCATTTCCTAAATATGGACATAATTGGCAAATTCTCTTAATTTTGCACACAGTGTTCAATATAATAATAATTCTGAACAAATGTTTTGATAGACTTCATACATTTAAGTAAAAGGTGGGAATGTAAGCTGAAACTTTCTGCTTCAAATATAACTTAAGTGATAAAATTCGTTTGAAAAATTAGAAAACCAGCTTTACATCTATCAAGTTTGTCAATAAATAAAAGCATTATTTAAATAAAAATAATAATTTCTAAGGTAAAGAAAAAATTGTAAAACATACCAAATGAATAATATTTTTACCTGAAGGTTATTAGAGTGTTTCCTACTCTAGCTGTCGATGAGATAAATTTGCTGACACACAGCATGATAATATACGCTATAAACATATTGCAGCCCGATGAGCAGAATCCACTAGTCACATAATTTGTCTCAAATGTGTTATTAAATCCTGCAACGCATCTGCAGTCTTGAAACACCTTAAACGTATTGAAACTTTTCATAAATTCTGTGATTAATGCAGTAAAATATATAAATGCAAAATATATAAAAATAAATTGTTCACAAACATTAAGCTCTTCAGGACTGTGTAATATTTATAGGGGGCAAGTTTTAAAACTGATAAACAGTACCTTTCACTCATCAAACTATAGTATTTACAAACAAACTAGCTAAAGTTTTTACCTCAAATTAACATGGAAAAAAGAACATTCACTATCAAACAAGTATCAGATTATGCAGGTATGACACCTCATATATTTTACCCAAGCTCTATTTTAATGCTTTAGTTAGTTGGTTAATAACAACCGTTCCACTAATTTTAATTTTAAATAAACCTGGAAAAAATAATTTTATCTAATAATAAAATAATAATTGTCGTTCGCCTATTGACAAAAAAAAATTCGTATAACACGAAGTTTAACAAAAGCGAGATTCAATATTTTAATTTATTATTTAAATAATTACTATTAATTTAACAATTTATTAAATTTTTATTTACCTCTCTATATTTTATTGAATTTTATCTATTATAATTTATTGAATTAGGTTTACCGTAGTCTAAGAACAAAAAAGACAAAAACATTTCCAGTTTTTGCGTTGGAATTTTATAACTCCGAAGCTGTTTTTCAAGACAGTGCACAGGAAGCTGAGATAACTGAATTCTCAGATATCGAGCTATTAGATTCATCCTAGCCAGTAAATATTAAACACATCTCAAACAAATGCCGGAAAAGGAAAGTGGAGGAAAAAAAATAAATTCTCCTAGTCTTACACAAGATATTAAAACTAATAAAACGATTCTCTCAAAACACACTAGCCTCACTTCAGGTGCACGACTTCGTGTTACAGTCGCATATTGATTCAAATAAAGTGACAAAAGTCATTTGGAAGTTTGATTCAGAAAATATGACATGAAAACACAGCCGCCGAATCTGAACGATCGAAGTCATTCAGAATTATAGATATACTCCTTTGCTCTCAATAGTTCCAAATCAAGATCAGAATCTGAGCGATCCAGGTCATTCAGAATTATAGATATGCTCCTTTGCTCTCAATAGTTCCAGATCAATTCCAAATCAAGATCAGAATCTGAACGATCGAGGTCATTCAGAATTATAGATATGCTCGTTTGCTCTCAATAGTTCCAGATCAATTCCAGATCAAGATCAGAATCTGAACGATCGAGGTCATTCAGAATTATAGATATGCTCCTTTGCTCTCAATAGTTCCAGATCAATTTCAGATCAAGATTAGAATCTGAACGATCGAGGTCATTCAGAATTATAGATATGCTCCTTTGCTCTCAATAGTTCCAGATCAATTCCAAATCAAGATCAGAATCTGAACGATCGAGGTCATTCAGAATTATAGATATGCTCCTTTGCTCTCAATAGTTCCAGATCAATTTCAGATCAAGATTAGAATCTGAACGATCGAGGTCATTCAGAATTATAGATATGCTCCTTTGCTCTCAATAGTTCCAGATCAATTCCAAATCAAGATCAGAATCTGAACGATCGAGGTCATTCAGAATTATAGATATGCTCCTTTGCTCTCAATAGTTCCAGATCAATTTCAGATCAAGATTAGAATCTGAACGATCGAGGTCATTCAGAATTATAGATATGCTCCTTTGCTCTCAATAGTTCCAGATCAATTCCAAATCAAGATCAGAATCTGAACGATCGAGGTCATTCAGAATTATAGATATGCTCGTTTGCTCTCAATAGTTCCAGATCAATTCCAGATCAAGATCAGAATCTGAACGATCGAGGTCATTTAGAATTATAGATATGCTCCTTTGCTCTCAATAGTTCCAGATAAATGAATAAGAAATGAAGAAACCTTAGAGACAAATGCAGAAGAAAAAAATTCCGCCTATTGTTATCTTGCAAACCAATATATATATGTTATTTCTCCCGCCTTCATAGCATGCCTTCGCAGTGTAGTGGTCAGCACGCTCGGCGCGTTATTCGAGAGGTCCGTGGTTCGAGTCCTGGTAGGGGCATTTCTCATTTTTATCTCTCCTGCTTCTAAATAACCTAATCTCTCTACACATAAATTGAGTAAAATCAGAAATATATGCAAACGAAAGCATGAATGTATGCAAACGAAGGCTATTCTGAAATATCTCCCACATACTATACTAGATAATCCTATCAAAGCTTAGAAAGAAGAAAATTTCATACAGGTAATTCACCGGATAAAGTAGGGTAATTCACCAGATCTAAAGCAAATAATACTGTTAGGTGCGTATAGGTTTGTAACACACAGTTCCACAGTTCTGATTCTGTTTTGATTCCCACAGTTCTGATGATAGCTAGATGAAATTTATGTTTCCAAAAATACTTTACATTTTTGGAACTTTTCTTTAAAATTACTCGTACACATCTTCTGTATGACACAGCAAAATCAATAGTTACCACTTTAAAGAGTTAATTACGAAGAATATTGAACATAGGGCAACGCAAAAAGACTCAAATGCGTAAGCCAATAACATTGATCTTTCAATATTGAAATTCTGAATGCAACTCTGACTAAACTGAAAACTGATGCTTTCTCCGGTCTTATAGTTTTCAACGTCCGCCCAGAAATTTCCATTACTTTCGATTTCCCGAAAGTGCTGGAAGACATACACAGTTACAACTACGTAAGGATCAGAATAGTTACAGTTACACAGTGCTTGGGCCGAAATGTCTCTAGATTTGGCTACTTTTGAAACATTTTCGCCAGGTTTGGCGATAAAAGTTAGCAGCTAAAGCCATCGCCAGCTTGACGAGTTAGCCATTTACCTCAATGCTAAATGGATTTAGTTTTTTTTTTTTTTTTTTTTTTTTTTTTTTTTTTTTTTTTTTTTTCTCGCAATACTTCATACTTGGATGTCTTTCATGTTACATTATACAAGAGATTATTATAATTTCACTAAAATTATTTACATATATACAAATTTCGCAACAATACTGAAAATCTGCTTATATGCTGTTAGAGCTACAGCGAATTACTGAACGCAAAGCACACTTTGACATTAATAATATACTCTGTATGAACGTCAAGAGATAAAACTTCAAGCCGAAGAGAAACGTCTGGCTCAGGCTTTAATTTCCAGAGGTTTGACAAGAATGAAACAATGATGCAAAATCATCTTCAGGAGGAAACTTCATCTTCAGGAATCACAGGGGTAGTGAATGCAATTTAAAACCACAAAAAAAGCCAAAATATAATTTCTTCAAAACACCTCCTGTGTTAAAATGAGTTAAGACATGTAGACTTTGAAATTCTCAAATCATCAAAACTAGATTTAAAAAATAAGGGTTTTCTAGCTGTAGCCAGAAGTGAAAAATCAGAAGTATAACTTACAGAAAGTAGACACAAAATAAAAAAATCAGAAAGAATCTCCCGTTCATACCTTAAATGACAGTGTCATTAAAATGGCTCCAAGATCCAAGTATTAAGAACCTCTTTTAAGAATAGTACAACTTGTAAAATAAGTGACAAAAATCCCACAACAAGATCTTATAACAAGCTAAAGGGACACAGAAGCAGTCACATGATTTTCGGATCAAGAATAATGTTTCAATAGCTTTGGATGAGCAACGGGTATCTCAGTGTCTTCCTTGCTCCTCTGTTCGAGGACTCTATCCGAGATTCTGAAGTTTTGTTTTCCAAATCATCAAATTTTCACCAGGCTGCCATTCAGACGGGAAAGTGGTTAATGACTCTGACTGCCATATCGAAGGGCCCGGGTTCGAATGCCGGAGAAGGCATGGATGTAAATAGTCCGTCCCTTCATAGGAGGCAACGGTGGCTCTCCTATTAGGAGCCTCCATAATAGAGTGACCACCTCTTTCGGCGTTAGTAGTGGCCAACGCCTACAAAGGCTATTGCTCGTCATTGGAGAAAAAAAATTTTCACCAAGCATTATTTTCTAGACTCTGCTTCGAAGTTACATGATTTACAAAAATTTTCTAACCAATTTGGAATTGATTTTTTTTTTTTTTTTTTTTTTTTTTTTTTTCCCACCAGCGGTCTACTTTCCATTATTTTGCAATATTTGCACTGCTTGTAATAGGAGAAACAAATTTCCTGTATTTTGCAATGCCAGTAGTCAACAAAAACATTTAATAAATGCTATGGCCTCTTCGAGACTAGGATTTTGTTTGTAATGTAATGTATTCGATTCGATCGTTTTGCTAATCGGTATTGTGCACGCAAATATCTTGTAATTTATTAGCTTCTGTGAACTGCAAAAAGCATAAAATACATTTTATTAAAACAAATTTCATTTTTTCAAACAAGACACGTTACTTAAATATGTCTAAGCACTTTATGATTATCTGCCTAAAGCGAGGAGAGGTTTCATGGAGAACTTTCGAAAGGAAACAAGCTCGTATTCACATTGCACAAATGAAAATAAAAGCTAAGCATGTTCCCATCTTTTTTGCCTTGGTTCGAACTCGGGTCGAGTGTCCATTATTGAGGGGTATTAACCACTCGGTCACTAGTGTGGCCCATCAAGACAAACATCTATTCAACATAGGTTTGTTCCGAATTTAATACTCTATATTTTATTGTCTCTTTTTATTAATTACTTAAAAAGCAATTGTAATAAATATAAAATAAAAAAACAAATAAAAACAATCTAAAAGCTTTCGTATTTAATATTGCGAATAAATGGGGTGGTGTTTTTTTTTTTTTTTTTTTTTTCTTTCATTTACACATACACATACGTTTCGAGAGAATTTGGAGCTAAAAATATTTTATTCCGTGCAGTGTGTTGCCATTGCTCGCTTTGAAATCGTTGAGTTTCTTAATAAAACAATTCGTTAAAGTTTAAAAAATATGAAATAAATAATAAAAAAATTCGAAGTTCAAGATTTGGGCTTCCAGTTGCACATACTTGGATGGAAGACTACGTTATTCAAAATTTGATGGCTCTAGGAACCTTTGTTTTTTCACAATGCAAGAAAAATACATACAT